TCTACAAAAATGCAATCACGTAGTGTCCGTCGCGTCGGGAAACAAATTTTCACTACCTCGAAGAAATAGATTCTCGTTTTCTGAGGTCACTTTTAGAAGCTTCCATGTTTAACATTTTTTGATCGTTAACCATACCAATCGTATAATTATAAGAAAAATCAAAGCTTCAAAGGTATGTCTTATTCTAACAGAAAAAGAATTAAGCACATAATTCTTGTAAAAAATACACACAGATATTCGACGTAAGAAAACATAGAGAAAACTTTTCTCTCGTTAATTCTGATAAAAGAAAAGTATAGTAATTCTAAAGTATTCTACGTATAAAATCTGATCGAAAACTAATTGACACCTCTCAGACTAGACAATATAATCAATGTTGGATGACGATAATACAATCAGTGTAGGATGACAGAATCATGACAAATTAGGCAATCGCTCGAGTTCATCACTTGTCGTTTATTTGTCAATTGAAAGAGATACGTGGTTTAAAAAATTGTAGCTCGACCGTAGCGATCGATCGTTCGATACCAAACAACGCGTTTGTGTAATGTTCAACGAATGGACGAGCATCAGCAGCAGAATTAATGTCGTGCCGTGAAATGTCGAATATATTCATCGTCTGACACGTGGACGTTCCACCAGCTGTTAATGCAAACCGCTATACGATGTCATATCACGGCCAAATTATTGCAATCCGTGTCGTGTTTATTAAAAAGCTGTTTACAGCTTCCTGCCTACCAGTTCATATAATTCGAGCAAAATTTCGCAAGTTGCGAATTAAAAATTTTTTAGTTGAATTATTGTATATAGACTAATGGATTTTTACACGATTATATAATTTTGGAAATATAATTAAAGAAGTGGAATTTCTATAAAAATTCTTTTGTGTATTAAATATCGTATGACAGTAAGTACCTTATTTTGCATATTTTTGTATATCTTCTTGTATCTTTATATTATCTGTATTTAGTAGAATTTTAGTGTTCGAAAGTTGTAATACATACGCTATGTAAGTCGCGGCTTTAACATTATCTTTAAAATAGGTGGGCAGATCGTTTTCATTATTACCTTTGTTTAATATTGCGTGTATTTACATCTTAATATTCATTTGCCAACATTTATTTATTTTATTAAATCTTCGAAAGGTTGACGTAATTCGGTACTTTTAAAAAGCCCCTACAAAGCTATGCAAAAGCTATTTAAAAAATCTTTCAAATCTGTGTCCGATCAGCCCACATCCTATAATCCCACGTCTGACTTAAATATCATCGACGTAAACATAGAAAATGAACGACGATATTGAACGATGCGAAATTTCGAGGTTCGTGCGCACGCTCGAGCGCATTCTTCCAACGAGATTGATTTTTAACTGATTTCAGACTAACTGAATTACGTTCACGCGTTAATTGCGTTTACCAAGGCCGGCGTAGGTTGGAATATGAAACGATGATCCGTAAAGGGAGCCGACCACGCGGATTCTCTTAAGGGAGAATCGTGAGTAGGGCAATTTTAAATCCGGCCGTATGCTAATTCGACCGGTCATCAACAAAGGGGGTGGGAAAAGGAAGCAGAATCTGAGGGGTAGATTAAAGCAGTTTCCTGAGTATAATTTGATAATTGGTTCTCGGGAATTTCAAATAAATTTTCGCAGTAGCGACTGACGCTTCTGGAAATTTCCAAACTCTGCAGGGTATAATGTAATAAATATTGTAAAACTGCGAGAATTATTTACATAGCACGGATTTCTGCAATCTGTTACCTGTCAAGAAATTATCACTACCTGTCATTAAATTATTATGTAGGAAAATTCGGATATCTTATAAGATAAATTTTGCAAATTAAACGTTACTGGAAAACTTTGCCCTGAAACATTGGTTTGAATAAGAAAGTTTGTAAAGGTGTTACACGGTCGGTTTACAAAAGAGGCATGTTGAATACTCTTAGTGGGATCTTGGATGGAATTATTGCAAGTTGTTGGCTGTATTATGATGTGAATTGGAAGTTTGGGATTACATTAGTGTTTCGTTCCATCTGTTGTTACTATTTAGTTTGCATTTCCTGTGTCTAAGATCATTTTTAACGACTACTAGCTTCTGAAACAAGTCGTTGTTTCAATGTAAAAGTTGATATCTCTTGTAAATGGGATCGTAGCTTAAATATATTCACAGGAATAAAAATTAAGCGGCAAGGATCCAAGTTTGAATTACTGAAGGTTGTGAATTATTTTAATTATAATCTTCTTTATAGACGAGAAGATGATCGTACGTATTAATTAATTTTACTTTTGAAATAATAAAGCTGCGGTACAGCTTTAAGAAAGGATAACAATTAATAATAATTTGTATACAGTTTATAGAACAGTTTATAGAATATTTGAATGTCCTAATAATATCTAGAATACTTTATTAAATAAATCACATTGTTCTTATTCATATTGTTCCTGTTGAAGTTCATATTATTTCAAACAATAAACTATAAGATAAGTAAAATGAGAGATGAAGCATTAGACAAATGCTATTACTAAAAAATGCTTAACCTTTATGTTGCCACGTAGAATAAATACATATAACATAATGAATTGCAGTATAATTTTGTATAATTAAAAAAAAATGTTTTCTACGTTTTATTAATTTGTATTTTTAACAATTTGAAGAATATGTTTAAAATTCGTACGAAAATTAAATCTAACTGTCTTCTGATTTATTTTACAAACTACTCTTTGTAAGAACAAACTAGCATCAAATTATTTTTATACTGTGTTTTACATATTTAATGTCTTGCCTGCCTGATACACTTTGAAAAGCAAAGTACTACAAACCCCTATATTACAAGCAAAACATCGTCTTTTGTCTTGTCTCGAGGACTATTTTTAACTGTGGCTCGAGAGCCAGTGATTTATAGCCAGCTTGGTAGGGTGCATCTTGTCTAGAAGTTATTCTACCTTCCTGCTCCAAAGTCTTTCCAGTACAACAGCCTCCGATGATGCTTTTTTTTATGCTGGAACGAATAAACCAATTTTTTCGATTGCTATCATTCACATTTCGCAAAGACGGGATAAACAGATTCTAATTTCAGTCTGTTTGAGTTTAACAAGTATGTTAGCAATTATCGTGGAACTTGTTTCAATCACAGAAACAACGAATCTTGCTTTATAATTATGATAATTAAGCTTATTTCGTTAAAAGCTCGTTGCAGATATTACACAATACTCTTTTAAAATAGGATGGGTTCCTTAGGTAAATTGTAGAGCACGTTGCAATATCAAACATAAAATTAGGAAATACAAAAGTATCTTACTTTTATTATTGATTCTTCGGACTATTTTGCATCGAATCCTATTCTTTATCGTCAGGAAATTTCTCAAGTTCCAGGGAAATGTAAAAAGGACAAAGGAAGATTTTTCAAAAATATTAAAGCTCTTTCTACCGCGTGAAACCAAAGCAAAATCTATGTATCGAATATTTTTATCATCGACAACACCTCGATTATTTTTAACAAAATTTTATCGTATTATTACAATTGTTAATAATAATTCAATTATTATACTACGTGTTCTTCATCAAATACATACATGAGAAAGGTTATACTACAGGAATTCGTATTGCAAATCCTTCAAACAAAAGGATCTCTCTGAAAAAAGTATTATTCTTAATAAAATATTTCCAACACTCTTATCCTAACGCAAATTTGAAACTCATGAATTTTTTATGGAACACTTTACACACCAAACAGATTGTGGCATTAATATGGAAAACCAGTGGCTGGCTAAAAAACTGAGAAAAGGATTGATGGAAGGATAACGCAAAGCAACGGATAACTTCGAGTTAGAAACTTTGACGTGGTTGAGAAATTCACATGGCACGGTGTCCGCTATATTTTCATAAATCCTTAAAGTTTTTTGGTTTGCAGTGGCGAGGGTAAACGAGACCAAGCATGCAGTGGAATTCGTATTCATTTCAAAGTTCCGTTGACCTTGGGTAGAAAGTCCCACGACGAAACCCCAAGGTTACATAAATCGTCCTTTCTCTTCACTCCATGAGAATATTATACGACACCCTTGCGTCACTGCTTGCTGAATTATGAACGTTCTGAGTAAATTATAAATTCGAAAGATTAATAGAGGGTTTGGCCTAAGGAGATTTACACTGCCGTGTCAGCCAGTTGTTATGAATCACTTGCTTTAATCCTTTCGAGGTCTTTGTTTAACAATATGATATTAAATTCTGTAATAGGTTGGTCTGCTTCTAAGTGTTACATTTTCAAGGATATTAAAGAAACGTTACTTACAGTGGTTAAAATACTCGAACATTTACCATAAGAAACTTTTATGTCTACCTATATCGTATACCTACACTACATAAAATATCTTGAAATTATCAAGAACACGACTATCGTGAGAAAATTGGTCTTTGAAGCCAATCTCAGAATGTGTATGGAAGTAGTAGTAGATTGCGTTTTATAATTTTGGGAGAAAGTTTGTCTTTGTATTATTTGATAAAAAACGATGGAGGGGAATGCACATTATGAGTCGTTTATTATGTTAGAATTAGGATCATCGATTATTTCTATTAGATTATCCTCAAACAAAATAGATAATATTCTTAACAATTGCGAAAATAAGAAGCTTTACATAAATCTGTGAAAAAGAGAGTTTGATAGAAATGTATGCAATTGAAGTACCATAACTGTATTATACAAAGGTAGCAATTTCTTAGCATTTTATTTACTAATACAAATACCATGTTATTCGTCCATTATCTGTGGCTGTTCCATCGATGGTAATGGAGCAGGTTTTCGAAACAAACAGGCTATTTATTTTAGAAAGTAGGTTTTCCAAATAAACAGGCTATTTATCGATGCGAGTGACGTGGTTTACGTGGGACACGAGGTGTCGTGGAGACTCATTACTTCTGTTCAACCATATGTCCATTGTAGGTTTCGAAGGACTTCGTGGAAAGAGGAGAAAAGAAACTATTTTTGTGTGTATGTATCTTTTGCAGGTCGGCCAGATCCTTGCCATGCGATGTCGTTGCAGAACCCCAGACTTCGACATTACAGGTCGAATCGTCAGACCAGATACAGAATTTAATACAGATTTGTTCTCGTTTTTGAGAATCGTTTTCTGACAGTTTTATTAATACGCTGATCGATACGAGGGCAGACACGCGCCTGTATTTTATATATTTCGCTCTTTCTCTATCTTTCTCTATCTTTCTCTTTCATTTCCTTTTCTTCTGTATAGTATTTTAATAATCGTGCACAGGATGCGGTACAGATAGAATGATTTTTTCCAGGTACAATTAAGGGGAAAATCCGTAAACTGTATTTTAGACGAAAGTTGTGTCTAACGTCTTAGACTTGCATCGCATAAAAATATGATTCAGTCTGACCTATGTTGTTATTTTCACTTAAAAAATTCATTTCAAAGATTATTCTTTCGTGAATGGTTCTGAGTAAAATGCACTTTGTCCGAGGCATGAAATCTTACAAATCGAAGGTTCTTAGCATTGAAAAATTCTCCTCCATATCAATGACAGTTTCGGCAATGAAATAAACGAAATTTTATAAATTATAGATTGTCTGATTTTTTTCTTCGACAAAGAAATTGTAAAATCGTAGGAAAGAAGTTGTAACTTGTCAATTTATTAATATTGTTACTGGTATCGCTAGTTGTTTAATATTATTTTATATAATTGTTCAAAAAAAAAGGAAAACTCGATAAAATATCGGTAGAATATTCTTGGGAATTGTATAAAATGCTTGAGAGAATATCCCGTTTGCATGGAGATCGTGCAACATTTTCTAAATCCGATAACGTACTTACTTTAGCGGGCTTATAGAATGCTCACAGAATGGTTATGGCAAGCTTTGGTGCAAGTTAAAAGAGAACAATAGCAAAATGTGCTCAACTCCAGAATTCTATAAAACAGAAAACTTTGACGTAAAAGCAATGTTTTCTTTGCTGTCCAAAGATTCTTTCAATTCCATTAAGCTAAGAGCGCAAATAGAAAAATTCAATCTCCGTCTCGAAATAGTTCAATATTCACTCGAACGTATTCATACGATAACAAACGTTCAAAATTACTAGAGTTCTTTTGTATAATTTTCCGATTAACGATATCAGTGACAATTCATGGATTATACATCTTTTTGTAACTCCATCAAAATTACCAGAAAATCAGATTACTTTCAACTATAATAACTTACTTGAAAAGCTACATTTTCTTTATTAGAAATCTTGTTGCTGTTACAAGAAGAGATTTATTAATACTAATCATTTGTAATCCGTGATTATTAAAATTTCATCAATAATATTAGTTCAATTGTATCTGCAAGAGGATCTAGAGAATAAAACAAATCTATGAAGGTATAAATTTCCATGTTACGAATTTCCTCTGCAAACGTCACATTAAATTAGAAGGATTACGATATCTCCAATGACTAAAGTACTTTCTATCAGTAATAATGAACTCCTCTTTTTATTTTCGATCATTTTGGTAACTTTTTAAGCCTTCAAATCTTCTTCTTACGATCACTGTAAACTTTCATAAATTAACTACGATATATAAATATAAGATAAAATAGATCATTGTAATATGATTTTTGAAATGAGTATATCTTTTTTTCTTAGTTAGAACTGCAAATTGAACCATACTCAGTAATCATTAGCTACTGTCTATTCTCGCCATTTTCAACACGATTTTCCTCGAAAACATATTACATATTTTCAACTTATTGTACTATTATGAATTGTTCTTTATCTGCTTAAAAATTTGTTCCACGACCTGTGCACGAACTAGATACAAGAGTACACATGTGCATAAAACGTCTACGATATATCTGGTTTCCGCTGCATCCACGCTTTTGGTATGACGCTGGCTGCGTGAACGCCAGCTCTGTAGTTACACATTTGCGTCATTGTACCTCCATATTGTTGGAGCGTTGCTCCATTTAGCGACCGTTTTCGTGGCACATCCGTAAACCGGGAGTATTTTTCAAAGGAAACGAGCAGGAGCGTGTCCCGCTGATTAAATCTGCTTTCAGACGCGCTCCTACTCGGATTTTTCGCTTTATGTTTATAACGTTGCTGTAAGTTACCACGTGACAAGTATCGTAGAAGTATTATTTGTTGATCAGTAAGTAAGAGTCGATCGAGCAGGAAGTTGATGGAGATTAAAGACGAATATTCTAATTTTAGGAATTTTCAGAATTGTAAATTTTCTGCGAAACGAATGATTATGTTTGTAGTTTATTTTAATTTGTTCGTTGCAATAATATTTTTATGTTTCTAAAATGAAAGACGGAAAAATTGCTTCAACTCCGTAGATCCATTTGAGTCTGTAAAGTTTAAAAAAGAAAAACGGATCTTCAGTTTTCCTATCCGTTTTCTGATATAACTTCTTTGAAAAACTTCGATGCAGGGATGTGAAAGTAAAAACTTCGCCTCTTGAAACGACCTCGTGTGTGTGCTGTTTCAAGAGCTTTTTTCACGAAGCTACAACAGTTGAAAGATCGATAATTTTTCGGACAAAATTTAATGGTTCCCCGATTTTGTGGTGTATCGTATTTTATTTAAAATGTTTGAAATTTAATTTACATAAAATCCGAATAATATTCTATCTTAAGATCGTATTCAACCCAAACAACTAATTACATTCAAAATGTAAAAAACGCAGACTGTTTCGTCAAATGCAGAAATTGAAATATACAAATGAAACATTAAATACGTTATCAACATTCTAAATTTCTACCGTTCGAATCATTAGTCTAAAAATCAATGAAAAAAATTCCAATATCAAGGAAAAGACAAAAGGAACCCTTATCGATGTAAATTCCATCAACCTTCTGCGAGAACTTTCAGTAGTATCGTGAACGCAGTAGCTTGCTCGAAAAGTGAACTCGATTACGCTTCATCTTCGTTTCGTTCTCCTTTTCTGGTCGATAGAGACAGCGTCTCGCGACTTTTCAAGCATGAAAATGATCCTAGAAAGATCCACGTAGAGGGTAGCGAAGAAAACCACGATCTCGATCGAGTGTCACTTCACAAACGCTCTGTTGGCATGGCCTGGATTCACGTAAAACTCTATCGTTGAAACGTTGCACCCTTTCACATTCAGTTAATTCCGCCTACTCCCGACGAAATATCAGCGCTTATACGTGACATTTCGATTTCAGGACCATGACAGCGATCTGTTTCGTGTGTAACCTACCGATCCTGAGCCATCAGGTTGGTCTGGTATGGCAAGGAGGGAACGGCTGGGACGATCTAGTGCGGGAACAGGTGGAGGAATCTACTTTGAGGCAACGTCTTGGTGGGTATTCGTCCCGCTGTCACAAGTCATCTTAAGTTAATGTTCTCTTAAGTAACGTATTACGTTTGTTATTTTCGAAGATGGATTTATGGATTTTTTGTTTTTGAAAAGTAATTTCATTCCTTAAAATTCCTTAAAATAAAAACGTGAGAAATCTATAACATTAAAACCCGCCGTTTGCGTCGTTAGATCCAAAAAATTCTCTATAAACTTTGCATCACAATTCTTTCTTTCCCTAAAAAAAAAAAAAGAACATACATTCATCATCGTACTTTCAAAAAAAAAAAAATAAACATAAAATACAAATACCTTATATATTTATTTGTCATCGTTCAGGAACCGGGAGACGCGACTCAGCGACACAGATCACGTCCATATCGCCGCCGAATGAGCCACAGGAATCCTCCACGACGAATCAGCGTCGTCGAAGATCCAGCTTGGCGCAGTTGACGGACATTTTGCGGGAATGGAGCGGCGGTGGCGCTTCCGCAAAGAGCGAACGTGGAAATAAATTGTATCGTCGCGAAACATTGGCCGATATCGCGAAATCTTTGCCGTGGTCCAGGCAGACGACCACGGATGCAAGCCATTTGGAAAGACTGCGCAAGAGACGCGAAAGCTCAGTCGATAGCGGGATTAGAAGCCAGGCGTCGACGAAATCGAGGAAAGATTCGACGATCAGCGAACTTAAGAACGATATTGCCAGGCTCTGGGGGAAGAAAGAGACTCCACAGGCGCAACCACCTCCTACGGTTATTTCGCCTACTTATCGAGGTTAGTTGGACGAATGTTCCGTAATATTCACTTTACCATACCGACCAAGTCTCGAGTCCTTATATTTCGAGTCCTATTATTAGATCGTAGATTGTTAAACGTTTATAGAAAATTTGGAGATGTAAAATTTACAATGCATATAATACGCAGAAATATATCAAATATTTCAAATGGAATACTTATTATAACGTTTAGCGGATAAGACAAATTTTTACCTAGTTTCCATGTAATTATATTCAGAAAAATTTGAATGTTCATGAATATCCGCAATGTAGTAACTACGAAAACCACGGATTTTTCGTGAAATTAATTTTGTTTGTTCCTTTGTTTATTTTTATCGTGTAACTTTAATTCTGATCGAGCGATATTTCTGAATTTCGTATTCTATTGAATTCGAAAGAGCGAGATCCCAATCTGTTTTATAACGCCATATAGGTTCGACAGAACGAATGTATTATATGAATTTACAATTTTACTTCGATTAGGATGTAAGAATGTATACAAGTAAGGTAAAATTGATTTATGAAATTTCGTTTGTTTTATCGTCAGTCTTCTACTTTTGTATATAAGAATTTATCAGTTCTAGCGACTTGTACAATCTCACTAACTCGTAACATCGAATCAATTGTACAAAGGATGTTGAACAGATGGAGGAGATGTTGACAATTTGAAAAGAGAATATTATTATAAATAGATAGACATTAAGGTGATAGTTATACATTATACACTATATAGGATTAGGTTGCCGTTATATAAATTGATTATGTAACGTTGAAAGTTGATGCGTCTAAAATCGTACGTTATCAATATTATGAATAACCCAATTTCGCGGATCATGTTGTGTGCATTAATAGAATAACCAAATACTGATCCCAAAGTATTGGTTATTGCTCAATCACGCGATTATTTGATACGCGCGTACTATTTCCATAATGATATATAATATCAGTTTAATATTATGAAATCAATTATAATCTCTATCGCTACAAAAAGGGAAAAAGTATTAGCTTGGTGCAATTAATTACTGATGTATGATTCTTTACCAAATAATTTGCTAAGATAATACATTACTGAATTGACTTATCGTTTAATTTGTTGGTTCCACTGATCAAATAGAGATGACGAACTTTTAATTTGTATAAGTTATTCGTGAAACTTTATTCGTTTTGCTGATCCTATTATACAAGAGAATTTATTAGTACTAATAATTTGTGAATTTTTATTCCCAACATTTCACTGATAATATTAATTCGAATACCAGATGTGTGCAATTGCGCTGGTATAAATAAATAATGTATAATAAAATAATAGTTTTTCAATTCATTAATAAATGAAAACAATAGAGTTCTTATAATATTAAAATCTTTATAGCAGATTGTTTCAAAACATAAAATTTTACCCAATATAAAATCCACGATAAAGCTATTTAATTTTGAAAACTCTTTTAATAGTCGAATAATCCAAATATTTTTCAGGCTCCAGTGATCCGAGAGGTTCTCGACGCGGTTCCGGTGAGAGTGGAAGAACCAAAAGCCAAGGAGAGCGAAAGCATACTTGCAGTCGTCACAGACGCAGGCAGTCGCAGCAATCACAGCAATCGGTGGACAGTAGTAGTGGCATGATGCCCACGAAATATTATAGAAGCGATCAAAGACCGAGCGCTTCCAGCACTGACAGCGCAGCCAGCAATGCTGTCAGGTACATGACGTCCACCTAACATTCGCATTCGACTCTCTAGTTTCGATTGTGACGCGTATACGCGAACTTGTCTCTGATGGGGGCAATTCTGGAGGAGGGAATTTAATTACCTTGTTGCTGATTCCGAATAATCTCCTGTAGAGTAAAGGAAACGGTTAGCTTTGAATGCTACTGACATGTACTTGAGTCAGGTTGATTTTAGATATATATTATTCTGAAAATAATTATTATATAACTGTAGTTTGCCTGAGGAACTGAAAGTTCATTATTAACAAGAAAATTGCAAGACAAATTCCCAGAGTATTTTTTTTATCTTATAATACAAAGATATATTCTATTATTCTATCGCATGTAATTGTAATGTATTCTAGTCTTTTTATAATATGCAGTATTTATATGAATCGAGTGAACTTGGACTGAAGTCTTTATTCATAAATTCAAATAAATTCAATTTAATTTAAATAGCGCGATTAGTCTGAACGACTAGGTATCCACTTTCCATTTTGGTATCCATTAAAAGTCAAATTATTTACAAGAAATTTCGAGTGAAGTAATTTACACGAATATTTTTATGGATTGAAGAATTATTGTTGATGAATCTAAATTATTTCAATTCCAATAATTTGACTAATCTAAATGAAACTTAAACACACAAATTTCATAAATCTAATAAAGTAACGTTTTATAATCAGGGAACACTTGGAAGCGCGCAATTCCATGGATAAAAGCGACCGATCGAGCAGCATCGAAGGCAAGACACCCGTGACATCTAGTACTGAGTCGAAAACGTCGACCACTACCACAACAGTCTCGTCAACGATCGCTACAATAACGACCACGTCGGCTGCGTTAACCACGTCAACCTTAGATCCAAAGAACGCCACAGAGAGCAGAAATCTAACTCTCGACTCATCAATCACACCCCCCACTATCGTGATGTCATCAGTGACATCGCCAAGCGTTTCACCAACAGTTGGTAGTAACCTTCCGCTTCCCGGAACTTCCACTTCCGGTAGCTCCAGCCCTGTCGGTTCGCCAAATGTTAACACACCAACGCATCCTTTGCTTAGCACTAGAAGAGACTCCACTACTCAGGTGAGGTATAGAAAAGTTTCGTTAACACGTAGGAAGGAAGTTTAAGAAAAATTTCTGAAATTTAGAATATTTTTATTAAGTCGTAACACAGAAATCAAATATCCGTTTTTGTTGTGCCATATTTTTAACTCTTTCTCCTTTTAATAAATATATTTATCTTTAGATATGTATCTTTATGTATTATTTTAGGTCTGATAATTTTGTCTTTAATAATTTAGAATTGTATCTTTTAACATTATTATGTATAAATATATCTTCTCTATAGTTCAGTAAAATTTTTGGATGTTTAAAAATTGGATATTATGTACATTACAACTTAATATCCTTGGTTTGTTTACTATTTATTTAATTATTTAGTAATCCAATCTTCTATATGAAATAATGACGTGTCAAATATGGATAATACTGTTAGAAATTGCAAACTAAAAATAAAATTCGATAGAATTCACAGATCGTTCAAAGTCGAACATTTCATATGTTACTACCTAATAATAGAGTATGCATTTATTAATCCTGTCGCATGCACAACATAATAACGTATGAAATATGTTCAATGCTGTCAGAAACCTCAAAACAAAATTATGTTTCAATCTTCCTTCTCTGACAGACGTATCCGTATTAAATGATACGTCACGTTAAATGAAATAATAGCAGACACGTCTAGTTAGACGCAAAGTAGAAATAGAAACTAGATATTGAAACATTCTATTATTAAATTATCGATCTGTTACAGTGCTATCAGAAGGGGAAGGAGCTTTCCCCAAACAAGGCGTCAAGATTAATACGACAATCGGCTGCTATAGACGAGTCGATGCCACCCGCACGGCATCGTCGCGGAAGTCAGCCAACTCTGTCACCGGATACTGACGAAGGAGGTACAATCATTAACATCAACCATTATCGACCACTTTCATCCTTCGCAAATGAAACTATCAATGTAACTTTAAATATAAATACACGTATCTATGTCCTAATTACAGTCTTTTAACACTACCTGTATCTCTCTCTTTGTGCACGATGTTTCATTTAACCCTGCTGCATTCTTCCAATAATTCTCGACCTAACTGTACTTTTACAAAATATCTCAAGTTTCAAATAAGTATGAACAAATTCTTCTTTATATGCATGATTTCTCGTTTCAATTTTCTGTTCTACATTTTCCTAAAACATAACAAATCCTTTCTCAAATCTGTTTAATTAGGTTTCAAGATCGCACGTACAGTGACTCGCATTAATATTCGACCACCACAATGTGTTGTACTATACATTTCTTTGCAATGAATTATGTTAGGTAACGAGTTTACTACTCCTTGGTATATTAAGATAGATACTGTAGTTGATTAGTTTTTAATATATTAACATAAATATCGTAGTTGATAGAGAAATATATTTTACGTGTTTAACGTTCATATTTCTAAATAAAAAAGAAAAGCTAAATAATGCTTAAAATGTAATATTCGAATATTAATGACGAAGGCCGAAAATATTATGAAGATTGAATTCTGTTATGTGTATTTATATTTTATATTTGTAAATACAGTGTTTGTTAAAATGAGAGCAAAATTGAAACATAAAACTTCACAGCAGGGTTGTAAAAATCATATCGTCTTTCCTCCACTTCCTGCTGTCGATAACTTCCATGTTTATCTTGTTCCTATCGTATTATTCGAAAAATCTCGATCTTCTTCATCTTTCTTCCTTCCACTATTTCTTCAATTTATTCTTTCCTCTAACATAATGTAAAATACAATATAGTGTAAAATTGTATGAGGATTAATAATACGAGAGAATTTTGTGGGGAATGTTTGAAGGTCGGAGAGCTCGTAAAGATTCGTTAAGTCCGGATTCTGCTTCATATCCTCGGCGTCGGGACTCGAGGAGCCATCTGAGTCCAGACCGGGCTGTCGATAAAAGGGATATCAGTCCTATCAGAGAGAGATCTCAGTTGACAAGGCAGTCAATGTCTATGGCTGGTCGGTCGCCGCCCAGGTACCTGCATTTTATCGATTCTCGGTGGCTGCTAGTAATGCGACTCTATCGATAGAGAACAGATTAGGAATTACAATTAGCAACGGAATTTAAAATGCGTCATTGGAAACTTTGCTACATTTTTGTGAAGATAAAATACTACACCGCTTTTTTTTCAGTTTGATATGATACTTTGAATACCAGACTTAATTTAATGTATATGAATGTATTTTTGTCTTCTTAATTTATCTCTTTTTCCAAGTTAGAATAATACAATTGAATAGAAAAAATTTCTTTTATATTTTTCAATTGTTCCATGTCTTATCTTTTCCTGTGGTTTTTCTTATGCAATTAAGTCGAATATTTACATCTTATATCTTCAAATCGTTTTGTGATTTGTCTGTTTTTAATATAAATTTAGTACGAATAAAAATTTTGCGTTGTAGGTCGCCAGATAGCTCCTCTTGTTCTTCGAGAGACCCGAGTCCTTGTGCTCGTGCACCGGGAGGTATACCGCATGCTCCAATAGCTAGAAGGCAGTCGACAACAGACGAGATATTTATTGCTCGTGGCTTTCGACGACAGAGTACCACAGAAGAAACAATAAGATGTCGAAATTTTAGAAGACAGAGCTCTCAGAGCGAAAAAATGGTTAGTTTTTTATTAATTAATTAGCAAAATACTAAAGTTTCTTTTTTGTTTGGAAATTGAAGAATTGCTTTGATTTAATTATTGTTGGATAATAATTCTTGTCTGCTAATACATATTCTTGATTTTTATTAGGTACAAAGATATCAAGGACGAAGAGACAGTTCGACTCAAATCACTGACGGAACATTCGCTACGATGTCTGTCGAGACATCGAACACCTTTTTCGATAGCAGTACCCAGACTGGTGAGTCATAAATTTCATAATTGGATAAATTGCAACACGTGAGAAGGAAACTTGAAACTTGTATCCTGAAATACGAAAAATATTTCTCTATATAAATCATATATAATAGAGTGATAATAAATGGTTTCTGTTGGCCAATATTATTTCAAATCTCCCGCTCCGCGTTAAGTAGTATCGTTTGTACATTGTCAGACGCAAACGTCCTTTAAAAGGTACCACTTATTACAAACGAAAATGTACAATTATTTTATCATAATATTTGTTGTTTCTAATGAAATCGTTACTTTATTTATATATCACAAATTCTTTATTTTCATATTTATTTCTCTCGATCAAGCGTATTTATTTAGGACTTAAATTAAATAATTTGAAGATTTTGCTAAACCTTTAATTATGTACGACATCAATTTAATTAAAGATATATTAATTATCCTACTTTCTACGTCAATTTCATTGCAATATCAAAATATATCCATATTAGCGATAAAAGATTTCCAAAATAATTTATCAATTCGACTTAAATACTATTATTCTTATATTAATTACGCAATCTCGAAACTTCTGCTTCAGTATTGCTCGGTGAAATGACTAATCACACATATATTAAGAATCCTCTCAAATCTCAATCGATCGGCAAATTCACAAAGGTGCTATCAAAATTCAAACCTAAATCTCCTTTCTCATCTCCACATCTGGAGCTTCAACGTCCATCAGTTTTCCTCGCAACTCTATCCCAATGTTCGGAACCCATAGCGCTTATAAGGTTCACGAAAGACCCGCAGAAGATTCACGAAATCATCCACTAGCGCCAAAAAATCCGCTCGAATTTCGCGCCTTCGATATATCTCTGTAAAGCGGAATCGAGGGGCAGCATGCGCCTTAGCAACGGCGCGGCGTTCGCCGTGTCCAGCCGGCGTCGCGACGCCGTGCAGCGTCTCCGTGGACGCAAGCGTGGTGCCAGCTACTCTAGTTCCAATGGAGTGACACTGGGTGCATGACAGTCGACAACCAGCCGAAGAGGAAACCAGCCTCGATGAGCTGCTGCTTGTCGAGCGTGTGCGTGTACTTCTCGCGTCGAGACGTGTTTCCTGGTTTCATCCTAGTGTCCTGGACGCTCAAACACCATCGTCGTATCAACGGCATGCAAAAAGCTCTGTGACCCTTGTAACCATGCAATCCAACCGGACATAGTGATCGTGGATCGGCTTGTTGTCCAGATCGACGATCGAATAATTCAACATCCTTATACGTCTTCGAAGGATCAACATCTTCTGTGCCATCAAACTAACATCAAGGAAAAGGATGGATCAAGAATGATCGAGATTTTGCTGAATTATCTAGGCACGAAGCTGCGTTTTCACTAAAAAGCATCGTGTGTTGACAAGCTCCTCTCAAGGGATCACCTGTTCATCTATACGCTGTGTTTACTTTAACGACGAGTCTATTCCGACGTGAATAAAATTGCATTCCTATTAGAAAAGATCTAATTTTGTCGGAGGATCCAGCTGTTCTATTGACCGGACGAGAGCTTCGATTTTCCATTAGAAGGATGGGTGGTGCCCTTCAAACGATGATCGAGGAATCTTTCGAGGGATCGATCGACTGATCAGATCCCTTAGAAGCGTGTCCAATCGCAGGACTTGCCCTGGATACCGTTGTCCTTGGCAAAGCTAATTTCAACTGACCCAGTACCTGACTAGTGACAGGACGCAACCACTTGTGGCGGTGTGTGGCGGATATCGCGTATCACGAACACTTAAAAGCCGGCTAGCGTACTTACATATGGCATTTGGTTCCTTTAAATACGTTTTTGGGGGAGATAGAAATAATTTCGAAGGACTGTTCGATGGTTAAAAGCAGATTCTCTGGTCAGTGGTGCGCGCGTTCGATGTTTGCTTGCGTTCGCGGTGTACTCGTGTGACATGTGACGCGAAGACAAGGTGTGCAACGAGTGTGATGGGAAAAAGGACTCGTCATAGTGAAAGAGGATTCCGTTTGGCCAGCGACGGGATGAGGTTGCCGCTTTTCGTCGAGTTGACGCTCCGTCGGAGGTAGGATCACTCGTCGTGTCATTGGACACGATGTATATATCATATTATTTACTATATCTTCGCTGTTCTTTAACTTTTATGCTGCGTAGTTCATTCGTTAAAGTATTTTTTAAAAGAATTGATTCTGGAGGATAGGAAAAAATTGGTTGATTCTCAAGATATTTTTGCTTTTTTCCTATTTGCATCGGTGTATATACTAATGCTTATAAGTATTTGGACAAATTGGAAGAAAACTGTCTTAACTGTCTCTTTAAGAAATCTATCACAAACAGTAGTACAATTAAACGCACGACTCAACGATGTACTCACCTGTTTTAGGTATCACAGTTTGATCTAATCACCATGGAATTTCAATTATATATTTTGTCGATACAAAAAAAACTATATATAACAATGATAATGTTATGATAATGTTGGAAACCTAAAGAAGAACCTATTTTTAATCTTATTTATTGTTTATAAACTAAGGATTTAAAAATGAGGGAGTTGTCCATGACCAACAAGGAAATTCGACAAAGTTTAATAATCATGACAAACTATATGTAATATTCTATCACGTATAATTGTAATGATCATATATAATAAAATTAGTATGGACACGTTTTATCCGGACATTTTTTAGAGTAGATTTTTGTCAAATTCCATGTTAAAGAAAAATAAATTTCAGCGATACTAGAACTATAGCCGAATTCTGCAGCGCAAAGGTTAAATTAATCGCATCCATTTCTCGTGCACTAATTCTCCTAATTTAGTCAATTTGTACTAACAGTACATGAATGTTACTAAACTATATAAATTAAGGAGAAACAAATGGCTAAAAGCAATACTTACCATCTTCCTATAAGATTATCAAATAATAAATTTTAATTACTAATAATTACTCGCTCGTATATAAGCAATTCATCAATGTATTTACACGTTCTCATAAAAATCTTTAAATATTGGTAACTTAGTATGCAAGAGAAGTCCAATCTATATCTTAGGAACTAGATACCTTTCTAAGATTATTCTGTTATTTTAATTGAAAAATTTTATCGTTACTTGCTAATTTCATCTTTGTCCTATCTTTTGTAAATTCTATCACTATTGCAAACACCAATATTTCATTGAATATTTAGTCCTTCTAAAATCAGATTTGTCACGTTACAGTGATAAGTAATAATACAAAATGTATTCGTTATTTGTCAACACAAAATTCATAATAGTGTCGCTGTAACTAAATTACTGTATAAAATAGTGGTTTCTATCAAAACTATACCTACGTTGAATAAGTGTGTGTTTATATGTCGATTCGACAAGAAGGTATTATAATATTGCTTTTGACCACTAATTTGGAATGGAAGTTAATATTCATACATTTCAATAACATTCATATATTATTGACGTACAGTTAAAAAAAAAAGTACAGTGGCTGTAAAAGGTATTTTTACACATTATATATTACGTGGACCTTATTAATTACCTAATTAATTAGTACCTAAATACAACAAATACAACGGTGTACAAATGCTTTTCGTAGCCATTGTAAATCGTCTGAAGTGTTATAGACTAATGACTATAACATATATTTTTATTCCAATCTTAGTCTTTCGTTTCTTTTTCCTTTGTCAAGTAGTTTACATAGAAATGTCGATCGAATATTTATATCGGTGGTAAAACGTGCGGGAGAAATGCGTTTCGCGCGGCCGTTAAAAGAGCGGCGAGTATTTTCGTAGCATGGTTTTACGAGTCCCGTGATTAGCGGAGCGGAGAAACGCCGCTCGTTAGAATGCTTTCATTGTTGGAGCCACGTCAGAGGCTTCCTCCCGCGTGTTGAAAACACAACGCGTGCGTCCGTATGCATTATGAGTGGCGTGGAACAGCTTTCGCAACGCGACTTTTATGGAAATTTTGTGATCAGCGTTGACAGGACGTTTCCATGAATCTCGCGATGTTTCGTTCACGCGCAGCTTTGATTAAATTCGAGGGAATTTCTAATTGCGATGCCGGACTCGTTTCTCGTCAGGTTTTTAATCTTCGCCTGCGAGAAATGCATTTAACCAGAGATTCTGATAAAACTTCCAGTAAAATTGCATATTCAAGGAAATATCCTTGCTTAAGGATTTATGAGAAATAAACACGATTTCTAATTTTCAATTTCCAATTTTATATTAATCTTGGGATTTAACAACATTTTGAAACGTATCGGAGAAAGGAAGCTTCAACAGCTACATTCTTCTTAATGGGTTTCAAAAGATATTCAAACACTTGACTTCTATTTCTTAGCGGGACTTCATATAGGTATAAATAATTCTATTTTATAAAATTATAGAAGTAAATAAATTCTATTTTACGTAGAATCATGGCAATAAATTGATTCTATTACATATAAAATTTACACATGTAAATTCTAAGTTATTTGTACAAAAATTTCGATTAATCTCTATGCGAATTCTCATTATTAACAGAATTTCTATACAAAATTATAATTACCTACCTAAAGGAATTTCATTATACCATCCTTTACGCGATTCTTTCAAACATTTGTGCGATTTTTCATGTCATTGAATTGCAAAGAAACAGTCACCATTCCACATTATTAAATCTCTACACGAATGCTAACTTTTATCTTAACTTCTACATAAATTGTCTTCCTTTCATTGCATACTCATCTCCATCGTCCAATCCTTTCACAAAGAAAATTCCTTTACCCAATTTCTCCTTTTAAATGCCCACTCTACCATCCCTAAACTACTTATCGATTAACCACCAATCTGTAAAATATTCCAGCGATCTTTCGTTTCATTAAATCGTCACGAGTTGTTGTTACAATAACCGTTCGTATTTACCATCGCCCCTTTATTCATAGCAATGACAAAAGAAACTTCTGTTCGTTAACGAGAACGAGATGACGTTTCACGCGAAATTTGCAACGAAAATGTAAGTTTCATGCGATTCGCGTCGTCGCCA